ATGTAAAAGACAGGAAAGCAATACGTTTGGCCCGCATTAATTTAGCGAAATGGGAATCTGCTTCTTGGCAAGAACATCACAAGCACCGAGATTGTAATTTGTATTATACTATTTTGTCTTTGTATTTATTCTATAAACGTATATCTTTTTACATAAAAATAACCACTTACCATTTATCTTTCAAATTTGAGTCCCAAAATGAAGATTGGTTGAGCAACTTCGTAAAAATATTTATTTTTCTACTTTCGAACGGTGTTTTTCCTATGCTTTTGACTGAAAACACGACGAATGACACTTGCCAGAGCAATTTGCGTGGCGCGTGGAAATGACGTGCACGGGGACACAAAGAACAAAGGAATCGCTGCGAGTTCCGCCTCTGTATACTCTGTGTCGTAGTCGTACTCGTAGTCAAATCTAAAGCTCCCTAATATCGAATTCGCTGTTGTTGAACTCGTTAGGGATTACAATAAATCAGTTATTCTCGACACAGTATATCTTACAGAACCTCGACAAGATGAACTGCATCAACTCAATTCATCTTTACAAGAGAGTTCTGAATCAGCTTCTGTGGTCGTAGTTGGCGATTTTAACCTTCCCACCCTCAACTGTCACCTGATGAATCTTCTCTTGAACACGACGGGGGGTCAACGGAGAACAATGAATTCTGCGTCCTTATGAAAATCTTTATTAAAGGGCCTACTCACATAGCAGGAAACAAACTCGATTTGCTACTATCAAACTGGCCTGTAATGATTGAGCATGTTTCTTCTCTCACCCCGGAGGAAAGCACATTCCCCTCTGATCATTACCTAGTGAATTTTTCCATACGGCTGAAGTTTAAACGAGCAAGGCGTGTGCAGCGCAAAGCTTACAATTACAAGAGAGCAGACTTTCAAGATCTTCATAGACTTTTACAGAGTGCTACACTAGATATACCCCTTTCTGACAATATTAATATTTCCTGGTCTCGGTGGAAGGATTTAATTCTAGCTGCAGTAGAAAAATGCGTTCCTATTAAAGTCATTAAAGATACAAACTCTCCTCCCTGGATTGATGGAGAAATCAGGCACCTAATGCGCAAAAAGTATCGAGCTCTCAAAAATTATCGCAAAACTAGATCCGAAGAACGTAAGAAAAAACTCAGATCTCTAAGTAATTACATGAAAATCCTTGTTCGACGTAAGCATCGTGATTACCTTCACAAAATCCAAGGTTCCTTCAGTGAAAATCCAAAACTATTTTGGAACTGTCATAAAGCAGTATTACATCAACGCTCAGGGGTTGTCTCTATTATTACCGACGAGTAATGGAATAACAGCCAAGACACCGGCAGAGAAAGTTGAACTCTTTAACACGTACTTTTGCTCTGTTTTCACTTCACCCAGCGCAGTGTCCAGTTTGCCCTCTTCCCCCATAAGATCGGATATAGAAATCTCTGATATAGAGCTAACAGTGGAAGAAGTGTCAGCTTGTTTGTCTAGTTTAGACACATCTAAAGCCACCGGTCCTGACGGGATACCCGCACGCATCCTAAAGGAATGTAGCACGGAAATCGCACCAAGTCTTTGTACTTTGTTCAATCACTCTCTACGCATTGGGCGTTTCCCTGCAGAATGAAAAAGTGCCGACGTAACACCAGTTCATAAGAAGGATAATAAAGAACATGCTGAAAATTACAGACCTATCTCTTTATTGCCGATAGTAAGCAAGGTGATGGAACGGTGCGTCTGTAACAGGTTCTATTCCCATGTCTCACATCTAATTACTTCACTTCAGCGCGGTTTTATGCGTAATCGATCATGTGTAACACAGTTTCTGTCTGTTCTCCACTCCATTGGAAAATCACTTGACCAAAACACTCAAACAGACATTTTATACTTGGATTTTGCTAAGGCTTTTTACTGTGTAGACCATGTCATTCTCATAGAAAAGCTTAAATGGTATGGCGTAAGGGGAATCTTCTTAACTGGTTTACTGACTATCTTAGCGATAGATCGCAGAGAGTTGTGATAGACGATGTAGCTTCTCGATACCTACCCGTTACTTCTGATGTTCCCCAGGGAGCATTGTAGGACCTATGCTGTTTGTTATTTTCATCAATGACCTACCTGATATTATCCAGGAACAGACAAGAACCGGCCTCTTCGCAGATGACACCAAGTTGTACCGATCAGTAAAATCCCCTAGCGACTGTGAAAGTTTGCAGCATGATATTTCGAATTTGAACAATTGGACTCATAACTCTAACTTGAAATTTAACGCCTCCAAGTTAAGGTATTAACAATAACTTGAAAGAAATCACCTGTAATTACTGACTATCGTCTGGGTAATGTAATTTTACAACGTGCTCACCACGAAAAAGATCTGGGAATTATTGAGTCAAAAGCAACTTATCCTGGGATTCTCATATTTTTTTCAATCGTCAGTAAAGCCAACATGATGCTTGGTATCTTAAAGAGAACTTGTCCCCTGATTAGAGACACTAAAGTTAGGCGAACACTATATCTGACTTTGGTAAAATCAAAGTTGTGCTACGCAACGGAGGTGTGGTCCTTAGCTAATGTGAAGCTACAAGTTGCATTAGAAAGTTCAAAGGCGCGCTACACGTTGGATTCTAAAAAGTAAAGTTGGAGAAATGTCTTACGAAGATAGACTGAAAACTCTCAATTTGTTGCCACTAACTTACGATCGAGAAATCAGAGATCTTGTTCTGGGGCCGGTTGTATCAAAGGCGTTTAACTCGCTAACTACCGTTTAACTCGCTATCCGCCGGATAAAATTTAAACGCTCGAGAAATCGCGTTGTATCAAGCCCGTTTAGCGCTATCCACCGGTTAAATTTTGCCTATCCACCGTGAAAACTTATACGGTCTCTTGAGACCGTTTAAATCGCTATACGGCGGATAAACTCGGAGTTTGAAGATAAAACAATGATTATTTCGGATGAAAAAGCATGGGATAGTTATAAAAATGCACAATCATGTGAAGGAGTTATCTTTTTAAATCCAATAAACATGAAAAACTCACTTTTAACTGGCTTGGTCTTGAGGTACACTGAGGTCACTTGCTCACTTGTAATTCCGTGGCTTTGCTATATTTACGCACACCAGTGTAATGTTTAGATGTTATTATATAGTTTGAAAACAAGCAGTAAGACTCCCAATTTTAGCTATTGTAAAACAAACAATGACTTTGGAAAGCCAACAAGTATACAAAATAGACAACAAGACGCCGAAAGTCGAAAAAAATTTGTTCGCTCGCGTTAATCGCTTTGATCAGCCAATCAAAACTTGGGACAAAATGTTCTTAAAATTGTTTTGAACAAAAGTGCAAGGTCGAGGAACAAATTTCAAACAGTATAAAACTGAATCAACTGACAAAAGCCAAATACAACTCACAATTTTTGCTATTGCCTTCGACTCTTCGCATAAAGAAGCCAAAAATCTTTAAAGAAATATCCGTAAGTGAATTTAAGTGAATGAGAAACTCAGCACAATGTGAAAATGAAAAGTTTGATATAGATTTGCAGCAACGAATGGACGAGCAAACACCAAATAAAAACAACAACAAACTTTATTGCAAAAGCTTAGTGGAATTCACAAGTTTGATAAAGCTTCAAAAGTTTACAAAGGCCTAGCAACAGCTGACGTAGAGGTAGGAAATTTCAAGAAAATCCGGTAAGTTTCTCCGGTTAAATTAAAGGTTATCCCACGGATAGTTAAACGCGGTACTAAACGGGCTTCGTACAACGCAATTTTATCGGCCGTTTAACTATCCGAGAAATTTATACGCTGGATAGCGGCTAAACACCGTTTAAGTTAAACGCCTTTGATACAACCGGCCCCTGGTCTATAAATGTATTTTCGGCCACACTGATCTGAACATTGAACATTTTGTGTCATTTATACATCATAATCGAACTCGTACTCAGAATCCATCTCTAATGTTAAAATCTCCTTACTGTAGAACATCCACTTTCCAAGGATCGCTCTTTAACGAATAGTTAAAACATGGAATAATGTTGGAAAAATAGCCTCTCCTGAAAAGTTCGTCAGTTTAACAATTTTTAAAAGCTTTTTGCATGTGACATACACCGCATTGGTCAACAATACTTTTAATGTTGATATGGCATGTACTTGGTCGCTCACAAGAGAATGTCCCTGCCACCGTTCTTAAGTGGCAGTCCCGCTAAGAGCGGTCCGATGACTTTGACTTCGGAAAATAGATTTCCTTTATTTTTTGTGTGTTGAAAGGCATTGGTATACAAGTGTCCAAAATAAATTTATTTTTTGAAAATTCTTTTTTATGGCTTCGCTAGACGCCGAAACTCATTTTACCCGTGCAGAGCTAATTTCAAGCAAAATCGAAGGTTGAATTTCGGTAAATTGTAGAGCCGCGCTGTGTCAAAACGCCTGACTATTTCCAAAGTTCAACTAGATCAACAAGTTAAGATACAATTCAGGTTCTCTGTTCCAAAAAATAAGAGCATTTGAATAAATCGTGAATAAACGACAGCGAGGGGCAATTCACTCCAATGTTCTTGTGAGTTGTGTTCCTGCGGGTTGGAGCCTTAAATTGCTGGAGAACAGAACAGCAGAACTGTATGTGAGTATTTATGATATTGTAGTTATTTCAGATTGCGAATAGTCTCGACTCGATATGTCAGCAAATTTAAGACTATCCTGGGCTGGCGACTTTGATCGTTTGAAGGAGTTTGTAAAGAGTGACCTAGAGTTGCAGGGAAGCTGGTCATCCCCGGCGAACGAGAAAAAACTTTTCGTGTCAGACAACGTTGAGTTGCTTTGGTGGAAAAATAAAAAGTTCCTAAAGATCAATGGAGAGGATGCAAATCGAATCAAACGTTGTATGATCAACGCTATGTTTACGAGTTTAAACCTCGATAGTATCAAGTCTGGTGTGGACATGGCTACTAACACCGAGAACTCCTTAAACGAAAACCAACCAACAAAACACCAGTGCATGTACGGGTTGTGAATGTTCGAAGCTATCACCAGACTTGGAGGGTTTGAAATTAGATTTGGTTGTTTTGGAATCGAAACTCAACCATAAAATCCAAGCCGTGGAAAACCAAATATTACGCATGAACGATTGCCGACCAAAAGAGCCGAAAAATCATGCAAATCTCGAAAATATGTTGACAACCTCTACACCCATTAGCAGCGGCGGCACGAACAAAACAAAAGAGGTTAGTAATTCAAATCCTCACATTAATCCCGTTGTTGTTCGGACCGCTAACGATGCATGCTTCACACCAATAAAAGTACCGGATAACACAGAAACTTTTATGGCTATAGATCAGTCATGCGAGAAAACGTCACACCATGATTTGGTGCCATTGCCAAAATCCATCAATCACTCACAAGAGGAATTAACCCAAGAGGAAGGAACGAGATTGTTTCAGAAGGCTGTGGTCCTAGTCCCAGTCCTCTGCTCGCCCCTGACGTCCTGGCATAACCACAGTATAGGGAGACAACTTTTCCTATACTGTGGCATAACGTTGACATCGTACAACTTACGATTATTTGTTCAAAGCGTTACCTAGCTCTATAACTCTATAATTAAAAAAAAATCCAGAACAAATCCGGAAAATCCAGCAAATTTTCTCTTCAAAAATCCGCTAAAAAATCCGGGAAAAATCCGCTAAATCCGCTAAAAAATCCGCGGATTTTTAAAAATCCGAAAATCCCGTACGCTTTTT